GGGCAAAGTTTCCTACTCGGTGGTGTGGCAATTTTTTGTCAAGCCGCCCGAGGAAGTAAACGTAGCCGTATGTCGACTATGTGGCCAGAAAGTCAAGCGTGGCCAGGGGGCCCATGTTGGGACTACAGCGTTGCGTCAGCATATGCAGCGTCGCCATTCGGTGGCCTGGGAAAACCGTGATAAAGATACGGCGGTTCTGCCTGCCCCAGCCCCCGCTCCATCACCCGCTCCGTTACTTGCTCCGTCACCCGACGTCAATCGCCCTCTATCAGCCAGTCAAGGCCCGTAATCTGCCATGGGCCCCTGTACCGCCTCCTCATGCTGCTGCCAGGTCCAGAGTCTCTCATGGGTCCCTGTACGGCCTCCCATTGCTGCTGTCTCCATCGCCACACTCTGCCATGTGCCACTTTCAGGTCTCCTTACACTGTTGGTGGGTTCCATTTTGTCATAGGGTGCTGTATGGCCTCCCATTGCTGCTGCCTCCACCGCCACACTGTGGCTCCACACTCTGGTTTTGGCCCCGTGACTGGCCAAATGAGTGAAGTGTGCGGTGATTCTAAGATGGACGGCACTCATCTGCATGTCATACTGACTGACAGTATTATTTCTCTTCCCCAGCAGACTCCAAGGGCATTTAAATTAAAGGTACAGTGTTCTGCACTAATATAAAGGCTCTCTGAAGCCTAGAAACACCCTTTTATAAGTTAAATTCGCAGCGAATATATTCGACTCGAATCGAATTTATTCCGCGTATTCGCCGAATCAGCCGAATCGAATTTTTGAATAATTCGCTCATCTCTAATGACTACCTTTTCCTGTTGGTGATGTCCATCCTCATTATATGGATATTATATATTCTGTACATATTATATACACAGCATTTACAATATTGTCTGATAACTCCTCCTACTGCTTTACGTGACACCTCCAACTACTCTATGGTCCTCCCTAAAATGCTGCATGGTATGTGTCCTGTGCTGGGTGTCATTTATAGGTGGAGTAACTAATCTTTTTTTTTTTTTTTCATTTTTACAGACAACCTGTTTCTTGACCCACCATGTCATCCGCAGGTAATACACATCACACTGCTTTTGTGTCAGATGTTTGTGTCCCCCACTACAAAAAAAAAGGTGACATTGCAAGTACAGAGCCAAATGACATCACTTATTACACATACACTCCAGTGACATCATAGAATATACCCCCCCAGTGAGGTCAGATAATATACTAACCCCCAATGTTATCACATAGCCTACACCACCAATGACATCACACAATACATGTAACCCAATGACATCACATTATGCTTTATAGTATCACATGATGCACCTCCAATGAGTCACATACTGCATACATGCCCCATGCCATCACATAGCATTACATACTTCCAGTAAGTCACATAGTACATACCTGCCCCATGGCATCGCATGACACACCACATGACACCCCCCTCAATGAGTCACATAGTGCCTACCTACCCCATGACATCACATAACATTTAACATTACATACTTCCAATCAGTCACATACTACATACCTGCCCCATGGTATCCCATGACACATCACGTGAGACACCTCCAATGAGTCACATATCACATACCTGCCACAATGGCATCACATGACACACTACATGAGACCCCCCTCAATGAGTCACATAGTGCCTACCTCACATGACATCACATAACATTACATACTTCCAATAAGTCACATAGTACACACCTGCCCCATGGCATCCCATGACACATCACATGACACCTCCAATGAGTCACATATTACACACCTGCCCCGTGGCATCCCATGACACATCACATGACACCTCCAATGAGTGACATATTACACACCTGCCCCATGGCATCCCATGACACATCACGTGAGACACCTCCAATGAGTCACATATTACATACCTGCCCCATGGTATCCCATGACATATGACATGACACCTCCAATGAGTCACATATTACACACCTGCCCCATGGTATCCCATGACACATGACATGACACCTCCAATGAGTCACATATTACACACCTGCCCCATGGCATCCCATGACACATCACATGACACCTCCAATGAGTCACATATTACATACCTGCCCCATGGTATCCCATGACACATGACATGACACCTCGAATGAGTCACATATTACACACCTGCCCCATGGCATCCCATGACACATCACGTGAGACACCTCCAATGAGTCACATATCACATACCTGCCCCATGGCATCCCATGACACATCACGTGAGACACCTCCAATGAGTCACATATCACATACCTGCCCCATGGCATCACATAATAGACCTACAAAGATGCCATTTGACACGTGTTCACAGTTATTACATATACACCCAAATGATGACATCACAATGAGAACGTTAATACAACATGCTACGTTTTATGGAAAAAAAACAAGAAAAAAAGTTGAAGCCCCCCCCCCCCCCCAAAAAAATAAAAATCCATATCCATACCGAACGCTTATTAGAGCAAGCAGAAAAGGGGAGGGGACAAGTGTCACATGCCCTCAACATGGGGAGGGACCACCTGGCAAAGCATCTTGTCCATATGTTGATGAAAACATGCCTGAACCCCAGGTCACTTTTTGTGGCCGAGAAACATCACCAGCCTATGAGATCACATATTACACACCTGCACCATGGCATCCCATGACACATCACGTGAGACACCTCCAATGAGTCACATATTACACACCTGCCCCATGGCATCCCATGACACATCACGTGAGACACCTCCAATGAGTCACATATTACACACCTGCCCCATGGCATCCCATGACACATCACGTGAGACACCTCCAATGAGTCACATATTACACACCTGCCCCATGGCATCCCATGACACATCACGTGAGACACCTCCAATGAGTCACATATTACACACCTGCCCCATGGCATCCCATGACACATCACGTGACACCTCCAATGAGTCACATATTACACACCTGCCCCATGGCATCCCATGACACATCACGTGAGACACCTCCAATGAGTCACATATCACATACCTGCCCCATGGCAACCCATGACACATCACGTGAGACACCTCCAATGAGTCACATATTACACACACTGCCCCATGGCATCCCATGACACATCACATGACACCTCCAATGAGTCACATATTACACACCTGCCCCATGGCATCCCATGACACATCACGTGACACCTCCAATGAGTCACATATTACACACCTGCCCCATGGCATCCCATGACACATCACATGACACCTCCAATGAGTCACATATTACACTCCTGCCCCATGGCATCCCATGACACATCACATGACACCTCCAATGAGTCACATATTACACACCTGCCCCATGACATCCCATGACACATCACATGACACCTCCAATGAGTCACATATTACACACCTGCCCCATGGCGTCCCATGACACATCACGTGAGACACCTCCAATGAGTCACATATTACACACCTGCCCCATGGCATCCCATGACACATCACGTGAGACACCTCCAATGAGTCAAATATTACACACCTGCCCCATGGCATCCCATGACACATCACGTGAGACACCTCCAATGAGTCACATATTACACACCTGCCCCATGGCATCCCATGACACACTACATGAGACACCTCCAATGAGTCACATATTACACACCTGCCCCATGGCATCCCATGACACATCACATGAGACACCTCCAATGAGTCACATATTACACACCTGCCCCATGGCATCCCATGACACATCACGTGAGACACCTCCAATGAGTCACATATTACACACCTGCCCCATGGCATCCCATGACACACTACATGAGACCATTGAGATCTCATTGGCTGGTGATGTTTCTCGGCCACAAAAAGTGACCCGGGGTCCAGGCATGTTTTCACTGAGAGCTGGGCAGAGTTTCTGTGAGTGGGCTGGAGTTAGTTAGGTTCACCTGCCTATGGATCCCGGAAGGGGATGACATGGTACATTGGACCCCGTGTATATGGAGATCGGCCATTAAGGAGATTTATACCGTGTGATCCGGGTGTGATCCAAAAGTGTGATGACCCGTTGGGTCACTTATTGGAGGTGAGCGGGCAATACAGCCATTTTGGGATTCCTTTGGAGTGCACCCCACATGGCACCAGTCCCCTGTTGAGAGTGGAGCGCTGTCTGTATTTAGTGTGGAGGATTCCCACAGCACTAATATTTGGACTCAAAAAGGACATTTTGCTGCTTTTTTATGTTACGTTTTTCACTATAATTGTTTTCACTGCATACCTGACATTTGTTTGGTTCACTACACATATGTATTGTTTTTGTATTTTGCACTGTGTGTATACACTTGTCACTCAAAGATTATCCCAATTTAAGGGGTTCCCCTCGCTCACACTTATTGGTGGGTATCAGCCCAGTTTGGGATTTGGGTTTGTTGTTTTTCATGGCATATAGGGTCTGCATTTGTGGCCCCTCTTTTAGGAATCCGCTTAATTGCACTTTTAAGTATTTTTGCACTTTATCTTAAGCTCCCTTTTTTGGGGGGATCCATATGTTGGTATTTATTTAATTATTTATCCATTTAATATGCATATATTATTTAGCGCTGCACCATATCACATTATAAACACACCCCAATGACACCACACTGACACCACATATAATGACCCCCGGTGACATCACATTATAAACACACCCCAATGACACCACACTGACACCACATATAATGACCCCCGGGTGACATCACATTATAAACACACCCCAATGACACCACACTGACACCACATATAATGACCCCCGGTGACATCACATTATAAACACATCCCCATGACACCACACTGACATCACATATAATGACCCCCGGTGACATCACATTATAAACACACCCCAATGACACCACACTGACACCACATATAATGACCCCCGGTGACATCACATTATAAACACACCCCAATGACATCATATACACACCTTGGTGATGTTGGCCATAGGATACCTCACATGAAACCTATGTATGATACTCATAGCCCATGAACTGATCTCTCCTTATTGCAGATCCTGGCTCTATGGTATATAAGTCCCTCCAGGAAGACCCTCCTAGTTACAATGTCATCGCACCATTTGCTCCTCCAGATTCCTACCCACCAACCGCCCCCAGCCCGGAGATTATGGGCATACCATCAGGTCTGGAGCTTCTACTCCAGGTAATTTGACTATCAACCAATCTGACCACCAATGCCACCCATTATCTAATCATCGATGTCCTGTGTCCACCCTCCTGTGTTTGTCTGGCCATTGGCCTGAATCCTGTGCCTGGTGTCATGTGTCTTAATGTCTGTGACCTTCTTAGATTATTATGACTACCAGACTGTCACTAATGGGAAGAACCCCAAATATTGGACAGGGGGTGACCATTCACCAGACGGTCACTAATGGGAAGATCCCTAAATATTGGACATGGGGTGACCATTCACCAGACTGTCACTAATGGGAAGATCCCTAAATATTGGACATGGGGTGACCATTCACCAATCTGTTGTTTTTTGGGGATCTTTAAATATTGGACAAAGGGTGACCATTGACCAGTCTGTGATCTGTGGGTGGATCCCTAAATATTGGACAGGGGGTGACCATTCACTACTCTATCATCATTGAGAGGATCCCTAAATACTGGACAGGGGTGATCATTCACTAGTCTATCATCTTTGAAAGGATCTCTAAATATTGGACAGGGGGTGACCATTCACCAGACTGTCATCTTTGGGAGGATCCCTAAATATATTGGACATGGGGTGATCATTCACCAGTCTGTCATCTTTGGAAAGATCCCTAAATATTGGACAGGGGATGATCATTCACTAGTCTATAAACATTAGGAAGATCCCTAAATATTGGACAGGGGGTGACCATTCACCAGACTGTCATCTTTGGGAGGATCCCTAAATATTGGACAGGGGGCGATCAGTCACTAGTCTATCATCTTTGGGAGGATCCATAAATATTGGATATGGGGTGACCATTCACTAGACTGTCATTTTTGGGATGATCCCTAAATATTGGACATGGGGTGATCAGTCACTAGTCTATCATCTTTGGGAGGATCCCTAAATATTGGACAGGGGGTGACCATTCACCAGTCTGTCATCTTTGGTTGGATCCCTAAATATTGGACGGGGTGACCATTCACCAGACTGTCATCTTTGGAAAGATCCCTAAATATTGGACAGGGGATGATCATTCACTAGTCTATAAACATTGGGAAGATCCCTAAAAATTGGACAGGGGGTGACCATTCACCAGTCTGTCATCTTTGGGAGGATCCCTAAATATTGGAGATGGGGTGACCATTCACCAGTCTGTCATCTTTGGGAGGATCCCTAAATATTGGACATGGGGTGACCATTCACCAGTCTGTCATCTTTGGTTGGATCCCTAAATATTGGACATGGGGTGACCATTCACCATTCTGTCATCTTTGGTTGGATCCCTAAGTATAGGACATGGGGGTGACCATTCACCAGTCTGTCATCTTTGGTTGGATCCCTAAATATTGGACATGGGGTGACCATTCACCAGTCTGTCATCTTTGGTTGAATCCCTAAATATTGGACATGGGGTGACCATTCACCAGACTGTCATCTTTGGGAGGATCCCTACATATTGGACATGGGGTGACCATTCACCAGACTGTCATCTTTGGTTGGATCCCTACATATTGGACATGGGGTGGCCATTCACCAGTCTGTCATCTTTGGTTGGATCCCTAAATATTGGACATGGGGTGACCATTCACCAGACTATCATCTTTGGGAGGATCCCTACATATTGGACATGGGGTGACCATTCACCAGACTATCATCTTTGGGAGGATCCCTACATATTGGACATGGGGTGACCATTCACCAGACTATCATCTTTGGGAGGATCCCTACATATTGGACATGGGGTGACCATTCACCAGACTGTCATCTTTGGGAGGATCCCTACATATGGACATGGGGTGACCATTCACCAGACTGTCATCTTTGGGAGGATCCCTAAATATTGGACATGGGGTGACCATTCACCAGTCTGTCATCTTTGGGAGGATCCCTACATATTGGACATGGGGTGACCATTCACCAGTCTGTCATCTTTGGGAGGATCCCTACATATTGGACATGGGGTGACCATTCACCAGACTGTCATCTTTGGGAGGATCCCTAAATATTGGACATGGGGTGACCATTCACCAGTCTGTCATCTTTGGGAGGATCCCTACATATTGGACATGGGGTGACCATTCACCAGACTGTCATCTTTGGGAGGATCCCTACATATTGGACATGGGGTGACCATTCACCAGACTGTCATCTTTGGGAGGATCCCTACATATTGGACATGGGGTGACCATTCACCAGACTGTCATCTTTGGGAGGATCCCTACATATTGGACATGGGGTGACCACTCACCAGACTGTCATCTTTGGGAGGATCCCTACATATTGGACATGGGGTGACCATTCACCAGACTGTCATCTTTGGGAGGATCCCTACATATTGGACATGGGGTGACCATTCACCAGTCTGTCATCTTTGGGAGGATCCCTACATATTGGACATGGGGTGACCATTCACCAGACTGTCATCTTTGGGAGGATCCCTACATATTGGACATGGGGTGACCATTCACCAGACTGTCATCTTTGGGAGGATCCCTACATATTGGACATGGGGTGACCATTCACCAGACTATCATCTTTGGGAGGATCCCTACATATTGGACATGGGGTGACCATTCACCAGACTGTCATCTTTGGGAGGATCCCTACATATGGACATGGGGTGACCATTCACCAGACTGTCATCTTTGGGAGGATCCCTAAATATTGGACATGGGGTGACCATTCACCAGTCTGTCATCTTTGGGAGGATCCCTACATATTGGACATGGGGTGACCATTCACCAGTCTGTCATCTTTGGGAGGATCCCTACATATTGGACATGGGGTGACCATTCACCAGACTGTCATCTTTGGGAGGATCCCTAAATATTGGACATGGGGTGACCATTCACTAGACTGTCATCTTTGGGAGGATCCCTACATATTGGACATGGGGTGACCATTCACCAGACTGTCATCTTTGGGAGGATCCCTACATATTGGACATGGGGTGACCATTCACCAGACTGTCATCTTTGGGAGGATCCCTACATATTGGACATGGGGTGACCACTCACCAGACTGTCATCTTTGGGAGGATCCCTACATATTGGACATGGGGTGACCATTCACCAGACTGTCATCTTTGGGAGGATCCCTACATATTGGACATGGGGTGACCATTCACCAGACTGTCATCTTTGGGAGGATCCCTACATATTGGACATGGGGTGACCATTCACTAGACTGTCATCTTTGGAGGATCCCTACATATTGGACATGGGGTGACCATTCACCAGACTGTCATCTTTGGGAGGATCCCTACATATTGGACATGGGGTGACCATTCACCAGTCTGTCATCTTTGGGAGGATCCCTACATATTGGACATGGGGTGACCATTCACCAGTCTGTCATCTTTGGGAGGATCCCTACATATTGGACATGGGGTGACCATTCACCAGTCTGTCATCTTTGGGAGGATCCCTACATATTGGACATGGGGTGACCATTCACCAGACTGTCATCTTTGGGAGGATCCCTACATATTGGACATGGGGGTGACCATTCACCAGACTGTCATCTTTGGGAGGATCCCTACATATTGGACATGGGGTGACCATTCACCATGTTTAGACAGAACTATCCTTTTTCTTAGGTGTGAAGTTATTGTAACTGATGGCAGATGTGTAACATGGTGACCTGGCTGTCAGTTGCTGATGGTGGCATGTAGATAGCATTCGGGCCATTGGAGGGGAATCCATTATCCTCATTTTGTTGATATTATGATCAGTTTTCTGTTGAGTGTCGCTGTCTCCGTCTCTCCTTGTCGGTCCACATTCCACCCACATCATGTTGATTCATGGTATTTCTGGAAAAAGATGATCACCTAATACCGGAATTTTTTGTTTCAGATTAACCAGTTAACTGTTCGGGAAAAATGTAAGAAAATTCCCTTTATTTTGTCTGCTCACAAGTTCCTCTCTGTCCATTTCTTCATCCATTCTCAACCAGGATTCTGTAGAACCCTGACTTTCCTCCAGAGGTTACCAGGAGTTCCTTGAGCTTTGGCTCAATCAAAAGTAAATCAATCAAAAGTAAAATATGACATAATTTAGTGGCAACATAGTTAAGGAGGAAGTTCTGCTTTAACGTACTGTCCAGCCTGAGCAATCCCTTTCCTATAAGCTGACCTCATTACCTCCTCCATTGACTAAACCAGAATATTAAAAACCCACTCCCAGTGCGAGGCTGATTTCAGCTTTCAGCTGCTGTGTGTTACTCAGTATAAAGACAGATTTCAGGAAAATAAACCAAATGAAATGAAAACTTCTTACGGTCATATGACCACCTGGCCGTTATTGAGACTCCTGAAGAAGATGCAGTCAGCTGGGATGTTAAGAGGTTGTCGACAAAGTCATTCCAATCAATGGGCCTCATCCACTGATAATGGAGAGCCAGCTGTACATAGGAGAGTGAAGGACCAGATCTGGCACCTGGTGATGTGTTCTTCCCAGGGCCAGTGTCCTCCAGCAGTTCCTCTGAGCCATATTGATCCCAAATCCCATTGTCTATAGATGAAAGGAAATGTTTGAAAGATCATCAATGGGCCTCATCCACCAATATTGGAGAGTTGGCTGTACATAGGAGAGTGGAGGACCAGATCTGGTACCTGGTGATGTGTTCTTCCAGGGCCAGTGTCCTCCAGCAGTTCCTCTGAGCCATATTGATCCCAAATCCCATTGTCTATAGATGAAAGGAAATATTCAAAATATCATCAATGGACCTCATCCACCAATATTGGAGAGTTGGCTGTACATAGGAGAGTGGAGGACCAGATCTGGTACCTGGTGATGTGTTCTTCCAGGGCCAGTGTCCTCCAGCAGTTCCTCTGAGCCATATTGATCCCAAATCCCATTGTCTATAGATGAAAGGAAATATTCAAAATATCATCAATGGGCCTCATCCACCAATATTGGAGAGTTGGCTGTACATAGGAGAGTGGAGGACCAGATCTGGTACCTGGTGATGTGTTCTTCCAGGGCCAGTGTCCTCCAACCGCTCTTCTAAACCATATTGATCCCAAATTCCATCATCTATAGATGATGGGAAATGTCTGATATATCAACAATCATCAAAGCCTCATCCACCCATAATGGAGAGCCAGCTATTTATGGAGAAGCGGAGGATCGGATCTGGTACCTGGTGATGTGTGCTTCCAGTGTCCCCAACAGCTCCCGAGAGCCATATTGATCCCAAATCCCGTTGTCTGTAGATGACGGGGAATGTTCAATATATCATCAATGGTTTGTGATGCTGTATCCACCATTCAGAAGATGACCCCTTCCTGTCTTCTCTCCCACAGTTACCACATCCCAGGGCTGGGGGCGCTCCTTTGATGTGCTGAACAATGTCAGCCAACGAGTCTTCCAGATGGAAGAGAGGGTGGTGTGCTGTGGGCCGCTGTATGATGTGACCATCAGGGACAACGGTGGCATGGAGGTCATGCAGCTTCTGGAGAACTGTGGATGTACCTGCACCAGAGAGGTGGGGATGTGCATATACAGTATACATAAAATATACTCCTGATAGGTATATACTGTGTGCCGGTTGTAGGGGTGCTCAGCACGGCTCAAGCATTAAAGCCCATGAATACCGCCAGATGTGCTCCAGGTTCCCACCACTGCAGCGGGTGACGCAGCACACAGAGCCGTCTTGTGTTCTCAGACGTCCTCGCCCGTTGTCAGGATAAAGAGGACAAAGTCAGAACCTGGGGGAGACGTAACACAGACAGAGTTATGATTGGATAAACGAAGATGTCCATAGAAACAACATAAACCAGACCGGACTCAGCGCTGATCCCAGCACAGGATTGGACCCATGTTTCCTTACCCCCTCCCCCCATCACCACCATCCACACTATGAAACTCATCATTGTATGGGCCATTTTTTCCCCACGCATTATTGAGATTCTCACATAGAGCAGCCAATTCATTTCAGAGCTTCCCTACGCATGACAAACGCATGGACCTTGTACATTCTGTAGCAGTATATATATATATACAGTGTGGAGCCACCTTCTCACATGTATGTGCCCCCTGGTGGACATATGTATGCATTGTATAGTACAGTATGATATATATATATATATATATATATATATATATATATATATATATATATACTGTATATATTCAGGTCTACTCATATACAGTGTGTAGCCAACTTCTCACAGGTGCCCCCTGGTGGACATATGTATGCATTGCATAGTGTAGTGTAATATATATATATACTGCACAGTCACCTTCTCACATGTATGTGCCCCCTGGTGGACATATCTGTGCATTGTATAGTACAGTATGAGATATATATATATACTGTATATATTCAGGGTCTACTCATATACAGTGTGTAGCCAACTTCTAACATGTGCCCCCTGCTGGACATATACCTGTATAGTATAGCACATTTATATATATATATATATATATACTCTGTATAGTCACCTTCTCACATTTATGTGCCTCCTGGTGGACATATCTGTGCGTTGTATAGTACAGTATGATATATATATATATATATATATATATATATACTGTATATATTCATGGTCTACTCATATACAGTGTGTAGCCAACTTCTAACATGTGCCCCCTGCTGGACATATGCCTGTATAGTATAGCACATTTATATATATATATATATATATATACACACTGTATAGTCACCTTCTCACATGTATGTGCCTCCTGGTGGACATATCTGTGCATTGTATAGTACAGTATGATATATATTATTATACAGTATTTATATAGCGGCAGAAGGTTTGCCCAGCGCTGTACATTAGTGGGGGACAGAACATGAGACAATACAGTAACAATACACGAGGGGTGCGAGGGCTCTGCTCTTTCGAGCTTATATATATATATATATATACTGTATATATTGAGGGTCTAGTCATATATACAGTGTATAGTCACATTCTCACACACGCCCCCTGGTGTACATATGTATGCATTGCATACTATAGTGTAATATATATATCCACAACACTGCCCCCAGCTACATCGCCAACCTCACCCACAGATATCACCCAAATCGCCCACTCCGCTCCTCCCATGATATCCTCCTCTCTAGCTCCCTCGTCACCTCCTGCCACACTCGCCTCCAGGACTTCTCCAGAGCCTCTCCCATCCTCCAGAACTCCCTACCACAGCATGTCCGGTCAGCCCCCACCTTGTCTGCCTTTAGGCGATCTTTGAAAACTCACTTCTTCAGGGAAGCCTACCCCACCCCCACCTAAGAACTGTACTTGAATCACCTCCACCAGATCATCCCCCGCAGCTATCACCTCCCCCTTCCTTTAGATAGTAAGCTCCACGAGTTGGGCCCTCCTATTCCTTCTGTACTGAAATGTATTGTAATTGTACCGCCCCCCTTATATTGTACAGCGCTGCTGCGCAGACTGTTGGCGCCATAAATCCTGTATAATAATAGAGAGAGAGAGTAGATTCACCATCTCACATGTGCCCCCTGGTGGACATATGTATGCACTGTATACTAGAGAACTTTATATTTATTACAGGTATTTATATAGCACCATAAATTTACATCCACATCAGTCCCTAACCCTCAAGGGGCGTACAATCAAAGGACCCTAACCCTCAAGGGGCGTACGATCTAAGGTCCCTAACCCTCAAGGGGCGTACAATCTAAGGTCCCTAACCCTCAAGGGGCGTACAATCTAAGGTCCCTAACCCTCAAGGGGCGTACAATCTAAGGTCCTAACCCTCAAGGGGCATACAATCTAAGGGCCCTAACCCTCAAGGGGCGTACAATCTAAGGTCCCTAACCCTCAAGGGGCGTACGATCTAAGGTCCCTAACCCTCAAGGGGCGTACGATCTAAGGTCCCTAACCCTCAAGGGGCGTACAATCTAAGGTCCCTAATCCTCAAGGGGCATACAATCTAAGGTCCCTAACCCTCAAGGGGCGTACAATCTAAGGTCCCTAACCCTCAAGGGGCGTACAATCTAAGGTCCCTAACCCTCAAGGGGCGTACAATCTAAGGTCCCTAACCCTCAAGGGGCGTACAATCTAAGGTCCCTAATCCTCAAGGGGCGTACAATCTAAGGTCCCTAACCCTCAAGGGGCGTACAATCTAAGGTCCCTAATCCTCAAGGGGCGTACAATCTAAGGGCCCTAACCCTCAAGGAGCGTACAATCTAAGGTCCCTAACCCTCAAGGGGGTACAATCTAAGGTCCCTAACCCTCAAGGGGCGTACAATCTAAGGTCCCTAATCCTCAAGGGGCATACAATCTAAGGTCCCTAACCCTCAAGGGGCGTACAATCTAAGGTCCCTAACCCTCAAGGGGCGTACAATCTAGGGTCCCTAACCCTCAAGGGGCGTACAATCTAAGGTCCCTAACCCTCAAGGGGCGTACAATCAAAGGACCCTAACCCTCAAGGGGCGTACAATCTAAGGTCCCTAACCCTCAAGGGGCGTACGATCTAAGGTCCCTAACCCTCAAGGGGCGTACAATCTAAGGGCCCTAACCCTCAAGGGGCGTACGATCTAAGGGCCCTAACCCTCAAGGGGCGTACAATCCAGGGTCCCTAACCCTCAAGGGGCGTACAATCTAAGGTCCCTAACCCTCAAGGGGCGTACAATCTAGGGTCCCTAACCCTCAAGGGGCGTGCAATCTAAGGTCCCTAACCCTCAAGGGGCGTACAATCTAAGGTCCCTAACCCTCAAGGGGCGTACAATCTAGGGTCCCTAACCCTCAAGGGGCGTACGATCTAAGGTCCCTAACCCTCAAGGGGTGTACGATCTAAGGTCCCTAACCCTCAAGGGGCGTACGATCTAAGGTCCCTAACCCTCAAGGGGCGTACAATCCAAGGTCCCTAACCCTCAAGGGGCGTACAATCTAAGATCCCTAACCCTCAAGGGGCATACAATCTAAGGTCCCTAACCCTCAAGGGGCGTACAATCTATGGTCCCTTACCCTCAAGGGGCGTACAATCTAAGGTCCCTTACCCTCAAGGGGCGTACAATCTAAGGTTCCTAACCCTCAAGGGGCGTACAATCTAAGGTCCCTAACCCTCAAGGGGCGTACAATCTAAGGTCCCTAACCCTCAAGGGGCGTACAATCTAAGGTCCCTAACCCTCAAGGGGCGTACAATCTAAGGTCCCTTACCCTCAAGGGGCGTACAATCTAAGGTCCCTTACCCTCAAGGGGCGTACAATCTAAGGTCCCTAACCTTCAAGGGGCGTACAATCTAAGGTCCCTAACCCTCAAGGGGCGTACAATCTAAGGTCCCTAATCCTCAAGGGGTGTACAATCTAAGGTCCCTAACCCTCAAGGGGCGTACAATCTAAGGTCCCTAACCCTCAAGGGGCGTACAATCTAAGGTCTCTAACCCTCAAGGGGCGTACAATCTAAGGTCCCTAACCCTCAAGGGGCGTACAATCTAAGGTCCCTAACCCTCAAGAGGCGTACAATCTAAGGTCCCTAACCCTCAAGGGGCGTACAATCTAAGGTCCCTAACCCTCAAGGGGCGTACAATCTAGGGTCCCTAACCCTCAAGGGGCGTACAATCTAAGGTCCCTAACCCTCAAGGGGCGTACAATCAAAGGACCCTAACCCTCAAGGGGCGTACAATCTAAGGTCCCTAACCCTCAAGGGCGTACGATCTAAGGTCCCTAACCCTCAAAGGGGCGTACAATCTAAGGGCCCTAACCCTCAAGGGGCGTACGATCTAAGGGCCCTAACCCTCAAGGGGCGTACAATCCAAGGTCCCTAACCCTCAAGGGGCGTACAATCTAAGGTCCCTAACCCTCAAGGGGCGTACAATCTAGGGTCCCTAACCCTCAAGGGGCGTGCAATCTAAGGTCCCTAACCCTCAAGGGGCGTACAATCTAAGGTCCCTAACCCTCAAGGGGCGTACAATCTAGGGTCCCTAACCCTCAAGGGGCGTACAATCTAAGGTCCCTAACCCTCAAGGGGTGTACGATCTAAGGTCCCTAACCCTCAAGGGGCGTACGATCTAAGGTCCCTAACCCTCAAGGGGCGTACAATCCAAGGTCCCTAACCCTCAAGGGGCGTACAATCTAAGATCCCTAACCCTCAAGGGGCATACAATCTAAGGTCCCTAACCCTCAAGGGGCGTACAATCTATGGTCCCTTACCCTCAAGGGGCGTACAATCTAAGGTCCCTTACCCTCAAGGGGCGTACAATCTAAGGTTCCTAACCCTCAAGGGGCGTACAATCTAAGGTCCCTAACCCTCAAGGGGCGTACAATCTAAGGTCCCTAACCCTCAAGGGGCGTACAATCTAAGGTCCCTAACCCTCAAGGGGCGTACAATCTAAGGTCCCTTACCCTCAAGGGGTGTACAATCTAAGGTCCCTTACCCTCAAGGGGCGTACAATCTAAGGTCCCTAACCTTCAAGGGGCGTACAATCTAAGGTCCCTAACCCTCAAGGGGCGTACAATCTAAGGTCCCTAACCCTCAAGGGGCGTACAATCTAAGGTCCCTTACCCTCAAGGGGCGTACGATCTAAGGTCCCTACAATATAAGGTCCCTAACCCTCAAGGGGCGTACAATCTAGGGTCCCTAACTCACATTCATACATACACATACTAGGTCCAGTTATAGACAGGAGCCAATTCACCTACCAGAACATCTTTGGAGTGTGGAAGGAAACCCACACAGGCACAGGGAGAACATGCGAATTCCAGGCAAGTGGTACCATGGTTGGGATTCAAACCCATAACCCTAGTACTGCCAGGTGGAACAGCTAACCATTTAGCCGCTGTGTATTGAATTCACAGTTAGGTCCATATATATTTGGACACAGGCACAATTTTAGTTTTCTTCAGGTATTGACCAAAACATATTCCAGCTCTAGTTCTATAATGGATATGGGCTGAAAGTGTGCACTCTCAGGTTTAATTTGAGGGTATGTACATCCACATTGGAGGAAGGGATTAGGAATTACAGCTCTTAAGAGTAGCCACCCCCCCTTTTTCAAGGGACCAAAAACAAATGGATAATTGAATCAAAAGCTGTTTCATGGCCAGGTGTGGGCTACTCCTTCATTATTTCTTCATCAATTAAGCAGGTAAAAAGTCTGGAGTTGATTCTAAGTGCAGGATTTGCATTTGGAATCTATTGCTGTGAACCTCCATCATGCGTTCAAAGGAGCCGTCCATCCAAGTGACAGAGGCCATTGTAAGGCACCATGTCATGTGTGCTCCCTGCTGGACCTGTATATATATAGTATAGTATACAGTATCTCCCAGAAGTGAGTCTCCCTCCCCCAGACTGTATACAATGTATATACATACAGTCAGGTCCATAAATATTGGGACATGGACACAATTCTAACATTTTTGGCTCTATACACCACAATGGATTTGAAATGAAAGGAACAAGATGTGCTTTAACTGCAGACTGTCAGCTTTAATTTGAGGTATTTACATCCAAATCAGGTGAACGGTGTAGGAATTACAAAACAGTTTGCATATGTGCCTCCCACTTGTTAAGGGACCAAAAGTAATGGGACACTTGGCTTCTCAGCTGTTCCATGGCCAGGTGTGTGTTATTCCCTCATTATCCCAATTACAATGAGCAGATAAAAGGTCCAGAGCTCATTTCAAGTGTGCTATTTGCATTTGGAATCTGTTGCTGTCAACTCTCAAGATGAGATCCAAAGAGCTGTCACCATCAGTGAAGCCATCATTAGGCTGAAAAAACAAAACAAACCCATCAGAGAGATAGCAAAAACATTAGGCGCGGCCAAAACAACTGTTTGGAACATTCTTAAAAAGAAGAAACGCAACTGTGAGCTCAGCAACACCAAAAGACCCGGAAGACCACAGAAAACAACTGTGGTGGATGAGCGAAGAATTCTTTCCCTGGTGAAGAAAACATCCTTCACAACAGTTGGCCGGATCAAGAACACCCTCCAGGAGGTAGGTGTATGTGTGTCAAAGTCACCAATCAAGAGAAGACTTCACCAGAGTGAATACAGAGGGTTCACCACAAGATGGAAACCATTGGTGAGCCTCAAACACAGGAAGGCCAGATTAGAGTTTGCCAAACGACATGTAAAAAAAAGCCTTCACAGTTCTGGAACAACATCCTATGGACAGATGAGACCGACATCAACTTGTACCCGAGTGATGGGAAGAGAAGAGGATGGAGAAGGAACTGCTCATGATCCTCAGCATACCACCTCATCAGTGATCATGGTGGTGGTAGTGTCATGGCGTGGGCATGTATGGCTGCCAATGGAACTGCTTCTCTTGTATTTATTGATGATGTGACTGCTGACAGAAGCAGCCGGATGAATTGTGAAGTGTTTCGGGAATATTATCGGCTCATATTCAGCCAAATGCTTCACAACTCATTGGACGCTTCACAGTGCAGATGGACAATGACCCAAAGCAGACTGCAAAAGCAACCAAAGAGTTTTTTAAGGGAAAGAAGTGGAATGTTCTGCAATGGCCAAGTCAATCACCTGACCTGAATCCGATTGAGCATTTCACTTGCTGAAGACAGAACTGAAGGGAAAATGCCCCAAGAAACAAGCAGGAACTGAAGACAGTTGCAGTAAAGGCCTGGCAGAGCATCACCAGGGATGACACCCAGCGTCTGGTGATGTCTATGCGTTCCACACTTCAGGCTGTCATTGACTGCAAAGGATTTGCAACCAAGTATTAAAAAGTGAAAGTTTGATTCATGATTATTATTCTGTCCCATTACTTTTGGTCCCTTAACAAGTGGGAGGCACAAATGCAAACTGTTGTAATTCCTACACCGTTCACCTGATTTGGATGTAAATACCCTCAAATTAAAGCTGACAGTCTGCAGTTAAAGCACATCTTGTTCGTTTCATTTCAAATCTATTGTGGTTATAGAGCCAAAAATGTTTAGAATTGTGTCCATGTCCCAATATTTATGGACCTGACTGTATATACAGTATCTCCCAGAAGTGAATCCCCCCTCCCCCAGACTGTATACAATGTATATATATACAGTATCTCCCAGAAGTGAATCCCCCTCCCCCTCACATTTGTGTAAATATTTGATTCTCTCTTTTCATGTGACAACACAGAAGAAATGACACTTTGTTACAATGTGATGTAGTCAGTGTACAGTTTGTATAACATGGAAATTTGCTGTCCCCTCAAAATAACTCAACACACCGCCATTAATGTCTAAACCGCTGGCAACAAAAGTGAGTCCACCCCTAAGTGACAAGGTCCAAATTGGGCCCAAAGTGTCAATATTTTGTGTGACCGCCATTATTTTCCAGCACTGCCTTAACCCTCTTGGGCATGGAGGTCACCAGAGCTTCACAGGGTGCCACTGGAGTCCTCTTCCACTCTTCCATGACGTCATCACGGAGCTGGTGGATGTTAGAGACCTTGCGCTCCTCCACCTTCCATTTGAGGAGGCCCCACAGATGCTCAATAGGGTTTAGGTCTGGAGACATGCTTGGCCAGTCCATCACCTTTATCCTCAGCTTCTTTAGCAAGGCAGTGGTGGTCTTGGAGGTGTGTTTGGGGTCGTTATGTTGGAATACTGCCCTGCAGCCCAGTCTCTGAAGGGAGGGGATCATGCTCTGCTTCAGTATGTCACAGTACATGTTGGCCTTCATGGTTCCCTCAATGAACTGTATCTCCCCAGTGCCGGCAGCATTCATGCAGCCCCAGACCATGACACCCCCACCACCATGCGGCCCCAGACCATGACACTCCCACCACCATGCAGCCCCAGACCATGACACTCCCACCACCATGGGGCCCCTGACCATGACACTCCCACCACCATGGGGCCCCTGACCATGACACTCCCACCACCATACGGCCCCAGACCATGACACTCCCTCCACCATGGGGCCCCTGACCATGACACTCCCACCACCATGGGGCCCCAGACCATGACACTCCCACCACCATGCGGCCCCAGACCATGACACTCCCACCACCATGCGGCCCCAGACCATGACACCCCCACCACCATACAGCCCCAGATCAATACACTCCCACCACCATGGGGCCCCTGACCATGACACTCCCACCACCATGGGGCCCCTGACCATGACACTCCCACCACCACCATGCGGCCCCAGACCATGACACCCTCACCACCATATGGCCCCAGACCATGACACTCCCACCACCATGGGGCCCCCCATGACCATGACACTCCCACCACCATGCGGCCCCAGACCATGACACCCCCCACCACCATGGGGCCCCAGACCATGACACTCCCACCACCATGGGGCCCCTGACCATGACACTCCCACCACCATGGGGCCCCTGACCATGACACTCCCACCACCATGCGGCCCCAGACCATGACACCCCCCCACACCATACGGCCCCAGACCATGACACTCCCACCACCATACGGCCCCAGACCATGACACTCCCACCACCATGCTTGACTGTAGGCAAGACACACTTGTCTTTGTACTCCTCACCTGGTTGCCCCCACACACACTTGACACCATCTGAACCCAATCAGTTAATCTTGGTGTCATCAGACCACAGGAGATGGTTCCAGTAATCCATGTCCTCAGTCTGCTTGTCTTCAGCAAACTGTTTGCGGGTTTCTTGTGCATCATCTTTAGAAGAGGCTTCCTTCTGTCTTTAACCCCCCCCCCCCCCCCCCCCCCCCCCCCCCCCCCCCCCCCCCCCCCCCCCCCCCCACACTTCCCCCTAGGACGACAGCCATGCAGACCAATGTGATGATGCAGTGTGTGGCGTGTGGTCTGAGCACTGACAGGCTGACCCCCCACCCCTACACCCTCTGCAGCAATGCTGGCAGCACTCATACATCTATTCCCCAAAGACAACCTCTGGATATGACGCTGAGCACGTGCACTCAACTTCTTTGGTGGACCATGGCGAGGCCTGTCCTGAGTGGAACCTGTCCTGTTACACCGCTGTATGGTCTTGGCCCCGTGCTGCAGCTCAGTTTCAGGGTCTTGGCAATCTTCTTATAGCCTCGGCCATCTTTATGTAGACCAACAATTCTTTTTTTTCAGATCCTCAGAGAGTTCTTTGCCATGAGGTGCCATGTTGAACTTCCAGTGACCAGTATGAGAGAGTGAGAGCGATATCACCAAATGTAACCCACCCCCGCTCCCCATTCACACCTGAGACCTTGTAACACCAACGAGTCACATGACCCCGGGGAGGGAAAATGGCTCATTGGGCCCAATTTGGACCTTGTCACTTAGGGGTGGAGTCACTTTTGTTTCCAGCGGTTTAGACATTAATGGCGGAGTGTTGAGTTATTTGAGGGGACAACAAATTTCCATGTTATACAAACTGTACACTGACTACGCCACATTGTAGCAACGTGTCATTTCTTCAGTGTTGTCACATGAAAAGAGAGAATCAAATATTTACAAAAATGTGAGGGGGGGGGGGGACATTGTATACAGTCCGGGGGGAGGGACTCACTTCTGGGAGATACTGTATATATCTACATTGTATACAGTCCGGGGGGGGGGGGGGCTCACTTCTGGGAGATACTATATATATATACATTGTATACAGTGCGGGGAGGGGGGGCTCACTTCTGGGAGATACTATATATATCTACATTGTATACAGTCCGGGGGGAGGGGGGGACTCACTTCTGGGAGATACTGTATATATATACATTGTATACAGTCCGGGGGAGGGGGGGGCTCACTTCTGGGAGATACTGTATATATATATATTGTATACAGTCTGGGGGGAGGGGGGGCTCACTTCGGGGAGATACTGTATATATATACATTGTATACAGTCCGGGGGAGGGGGGGGGGGGCTCACGTCTGGGAGATACTATATATATATATATACATTGTATACAGTCCGGGGAGGGGGGGGGCTCACGTCTGGGAGATACTATATATATATATATACATTGTATACAGTCCGGGGGAGGGGGGGCTCACTTCTGGGAGATACTATATATATATACACATTGTATACAGTCCGGGGGAGGGGGGGCTCACTTCTGGGAGATACTATATATATATACACATTGTATACAGTCCGGGGAGAGGGGGGGCTCACTTCTGGGAGATACTATATATATATACACATTGTATACAGTCCGGGGGAGGGGGGGGGGCTCACTTCTGGGAGATACTGTATATATATATATATTGTATACAGTCCGGGGGAGGGGGGGGCTCACTTCTGGGGGATAATATATATATATACATTGTATACAGTCCGGGGAGGGGGGGCTCACTTCTGGGGGATATATATATATACATTGTATACAGTCCGGGGGAGGGGGGGGCTCACTTCTGGGAGATACTGTATATATATATATATTGTATACAGTCCGGGGAGAGGGGGGCTCACTTCTGGGGGATAATATATAATATATATACATTGTATACAGTCCGGGGGAGGGGGGCTCACTTCTGGGGGATATATATATATACATTGTATACAGTCCGGGGGAGGGGGGACCCACGTCTGGGAGATGCTGTATATATATATACATTGTATACAGTCCGGGGGAGGGGGGGACTCACGTCTGGGAGATGCTGTATATATATATACATTGTATACAGTCCGGGGGGGGGGGGGGCTCACTTCGGGGAGATGCTGTATATATATATACATTGTATACAGTCCGGGGGAGGGGGGGCTCACTTCTGGGGGATATATATATATACATTGTATACAGTCCGGGGGGGGGGGGGGGGGGGTACCCACGTCTGGGAGATGCTGTATATACAGTGTATAGTCACCTTGTCATGTTGCTCTCTGGAGAACTGAATGGGAAAAGTCCAAATGTTTGTTTGAATGCCCCAACAGTCAGAGTTTGGTCCACACTTGGGTTCAGAATGACCTGCTGACTCTTCCCTACTCAAATGTAAAATGAGACTGTCAGAGACTGCTTACATGTAACATGAGACTGTCAGAGACTACTTACATGTAACATGAGACTGTCAGAGACTACTTACATGTAACATGAGACTGTCAGAGACTGCTTACATGTAACATGAGACTGTCAGAGACTGCTTACATGTAACATGAGACTGTCAGAGACTGCTTACATGGAGCATGAGACTGTCAGAGACTGCTCACGTGTAACATGAGACTGTCAGAGACTGCTTACATGTAACATGAGACTGTCAGAGACTGCTTACATGTAACATGAGACTGTCAGAGACTGCTTATATGGAGCATGAGACTGTCAGAGACTGCTTACATGGAGCATGAGACTGTCAGAGAGACTGCTCACGTGTAACATGAGACTGTCAGAGACTGCTTACATGTAACATGAGACTGTCAGAGACTGCTTACATGGAGCATGAGACTGTCAGAGACTGCTCACGTGTAACATGAGACTGTCAGAGACTGCTCACATGGAGCATGAGACTGTCAGAGACTGCTCACGTGTAACATGAGACTGTCAGAGACTGCTTACATGTAACATAAGACTGTCAGAGACTGCTTACATGTAACATGAGACTGTCAGAGACTGCTTACATGTAACATGAGACTGTCAGAGACTGCTCACATGGAGCATGAGACTGTCAGAGACTGCTCACATGTAACATGAGACTGTCAGAGACTGCTCACATGTAACATGAGACTGTCAGAGACTGCTTACATGTAACATAAGACTGTCAGAGACTGCTTACATGTAACATGAGACTGTCAGAGACTGCTTACATGTAACATGAGACTGTCGGAGACTGCTCACATGTAACATGAGACTGTCAGAGACTGCTTACATGGAGCATGAGACTGTCAGAGACTGCTTACATGAAACATGAGACTGTCAGAGACTGCTCACATGTAACATGAGACTGTCAGAGACTGCTCGCATGTAACATGAGACTGTCAGAGACTGCTCGCATGTAACATGAGACTGTCAGAGACTGCTCGCATGTAACATGAGACTGTCAGAGACTGCTCACATGTAACATGAGACTGACAGAGAGAAAGATAAGTAGTAACTCACATCTTAGAATATAAAAACCGGCTCATGTGTAGGAGGGTGAGACGTCTGTAGCCAGATGTAGTTGTATGTCTGATCCAGAGAGGAGATCGAATGAGTCCGCCAGCAGGGGGTGCTGTGCATGTGCAACATGGATGGTAAGCCTGGTGGAATCTCCAAGGTGTCTGCCAGCAGATGGTGCTGTACATATGTAGCATGGATGGTGGAGCCCTGGCAGAGTCTCCAAGATGTCCGGGATCAGCACATGTGGCGTCTGACAACATCTGGCTACAGAGGTCTCACCCTCTTACCCATGAGCCGGTTTTTAAAGGGGAGTGTAGGGGTGTCCATGCCGTGTAGTAAGAGTAGGGTTCTGTAGTACAGAGTGTAGGCGTGTCCATGCCGTGTAGTAAGAGCAGGGTTCTGTAGTACAGAGTGTAGGGGTGTCCATGCCGTGTAATAAGAGCAGGGTTCTGTAGTACAGAGTGTAGGCGTGTCCATGCCGTGTAATAAGAGTAGGGTTCTGTAGTACAGAGTGTAGGGGTGTCCATGCCGTGTAATAAGAGCAGGGTTCTGTAGTACAGAGTGTAGGCGTGTCCATGCCGTGTAATAAGAGTAGGGTTCTGTAGTACAGAGTGTAGGCGTGTCCATGCCGTGTAATAAGAGCAGGGTTCTGTAGTACAGAGTGTAGGGGTGTCCATGCCGTGTAATAAGAGTAGGGTTCTGTAGTACAGAGTGTAGGGGTGTCCATGCCGTGTAATAAGAGTAGGGTTCTGTAGTACAGAGTGTAGGGGTGTCCATGCCGTGTAATAAGAGCAGGGTTCTGTAGTACAGAGTGTAGGGGTGTCCATGCCGTGTAATAAGAGCAGGGTTCTGTAGTACAGAGTGTAGGCGTGTCCATGCCGTGTAATAAGAGCAGGGTTCTGTAGTACAGAGTGTAGGGGTGTCCATGCCGTGTAATAAGAGCAGGGTGCTGTAGTACAGAGTGTAGGGGTGTCCATGCCGTGTAATAAGAGCAGGGTTCTGTAGTACAGAGTGTAGGGGTGTCCATGCCGTGTAGTAAGAGCAGGGTTCTGTAGTACAGAGTGTAGGCGTGTCCATGCCGTGTAATAAGAGTAGGGTGCTGTAGTACAGAGTGTAGGCGTGTCCATGCCGTGTAATAAGAGTAGGGTTCTGTAGTACAGAGTGTAGGGGTGTCCATGCTGTGTAATAGAAGTAGGGTTCTGTAGTACAGAGTGTAGGCGTGTCCATGCCGTGTAATAAGAGCAGGGTTCTGTAGTACAGAGTGTAGGGGTGTCCATGCCGTGTAATAAGAGCAGGGTTCTGTAGTACAGAGTGTAGGGGTGTCCATGCCGTGTAATAGAAGTAGGGTTCTGTAGTACAGAGTGTAGGGGTGTCCATGCCGTGTAATAGAAGTAGGGTTCTGTAGTACAGAGTGTAGGCGTGTCCATGCCGTGTAATAAGAGCAGGGTTCTGTAGTACAGAGTGTAGGGGTGTCCATGCCGTGTAATAAGAGTAGGGTTGTGTAGTACAGAGTGTAGGGGTGTCCATGCCGTGTAATAAGAGCAGGGTTCTGTAGTACAGAGTGTAGGGGTGTCCATGCCGTGTAGTAAGAGTAGAGTTCTGTAGTACAGAGTGTAGGGGTGTCCATGCCGTGTAATAAGAGCAGGGTGCTGTAGTACAGAGTGTAGGGGTGTCCATGCCATGTAATAGAAGTAGGGTTGTGTAGTACAGAGTGTAGGCGTGTCCATGCCATGTAATAAGAGTAGGGTTGTGTAGTACAGAATGTAGGCGTGTTCATGCCGTGTAATAGAAGTAGGGTTCTGTAGTACAGAGTGTAGGGGTGTCCATGCCCTGTAGTAAGAGTAGAGTTCTGTAGTACAGAGTGTAGGCGTGTCCATGCCATGTAGTAAGAGCAGGGTTCTGTAGTACAGAGTGTAGGCGTGTCCATGCCGTGTAATAAGAGTTGGGTTCTGTAGTACAGAGTGTAGGCGTGTCCATGCCGTGTAATAGAAGTAGGGTTCTATAGTACAGAGTGTAGGCGTGTCCATGCCGTGTAATAAGAGTAGGGTTCTGTAGTACAGAGTGTAGGCGTGTCCATGCCGTGTAATAGAAGTAGGGTTCTGCAGTACAGAGTGTAGGCGTGTCCATGCCGTGTAATAAGAGTAGGGTTCTGTAGTACAGAGTGTAGGCGTGTCCATGCCGTGTAATAGAAGTAGGGTTCTGCAGTACAGAGTGTAGGCGTGTCCATGCCGTGTAATAAGAGTAGGGTTCTGCAGTACAGAGTGTAGGCGTGTCCATGCCGTGTAATAAGAGTAGGGTTCTGTAGTACAGAGTGTAGGCGTGTCCATGCCGTGTAATAGAAGTAGGGTTCTGTAGTACAGAGTGTAGGCGTGTCCATGCCGTGTAATAGAAGTAGGGTTCTATAGTACAGAGTGTAGGCGTGTCCATGCCGTGTAATAAGAGTAGGGTTCTGTAGTACAGAGTGTAGGCGTGTCCATGCCGTGTAATAGAAGTAGGGTTCTATAGTACAGAGTGTAGGCGTGTCCATGCCATGTAATGTAGGGTGCTCTGCCCCTTTCAGCAGAGGTAACATGATGTCCCCATCCTGTAGTAAATAGGTGACATGAAGAGAGTCAATGTGGTTGTCACTAAGTATATGAATACAATGGCGGCCATTCGCCGCGCTTCCTTCCTTCAGTATTCCACTCACCACCCGTGCCAGGAATAAATGACAATGCATGGTGTCTCCTAGATGGAGGTTCAGTGTCCCCCCGCCCATCCAATTGGATCAGTGAGGCTCCACTGGAACAACTTGGTGACCCACCTGTCCGTCATGAACGCCAGCAAAGAGGTCGTTCTGATCATTCTGGGGCCGAGCATGCAGACCAGCATCTTCGGAAACTCCACCTTCGAGGTAACGCAGCCGGCCCCTGCGGGGCGGTGTAGCTCGGTGGGCGTTATCACCCTCATTTCAGGTGACCCTTCTGTCTCCTTCTCAGGTGAAGTCTCGGGACGAGCAGCATGTTGTCGGGGTGATTCGGATGGAGAGCGGCAATTATGTCATCTCATTTCCGATGGATCTGGAGGTCACTATAAAAGCCATTCTCATGGGTGCCGCCATGTACCTGGTGAGTGATCTGATATTAGTAGTCACATGGGGGGGGCCACCGGCACCCCAGGTTTGCAGAATGTCCTGTTCTGTGATGGCATCTAAAGCTCTGCCTACATTGTGGTCATACACACATGGGGACACATAGAAGGGAGGAGACATTAAAAGGAGTGGGCGGGGGCTAAATGCCTGAGACTTACCGTGGCATGACTAAACCATGTCCCCTCATTCTGCGTGGTCTGCTATGTCTGTGGCCACGTTTAGTGTCATATTTCCTATGTGCCCTTCTATAGTGCTACATGATGGGTTTTTTGCACCCCTATATAGTACCACCCCCCATATCTGTGCCGTTATAATGCCATCCTATTGGACCCATATATAATTTCTGCCCCCTACAGTGGCGCCCCCTTTGTAGACCTCATGGCAATAACCAGCGATGAGGTTCAGCATGACCAAGGATTCACAGAGAATGCTGCAAGTTCAAAATTCTGAATTTTTTTCACAGGGGCTTGTTTGTTCCCAGAATGCATTGCATGGACTTCTGTTAAAGCGGGGGTCTCCAACATTTTGTAAATGTTTGCTAGTTGAAAAAAAATTAGTCCTCCTTTCACATCACGAGCCCCTCCCCCCCGATCACATCCCTTTACATGAGATCTCCCTTGCAAATTAGAAGTCCCCATCACATCAGAGTCCTCCATTTCATATCAGAAGTTCCCTTCACACCAGATCCCCTCCCCTGCATATCTACCCCCCTCCAATCATATTAGAGTCCCACTTCACATCAACGCTCCTCCCTTCACATAGGTTCTCCCTTTCAAATTAAAAGCCCCCATCACTTCAGAGTCCTCCATTTCATATCAGAAGTTCCCTTCACATCAGAAGCCCCCCATTTCAGCAGAGCTCCACCTTCCATCAGAGTGCCCTTTTCATATCAGATCTCTCTTTCAAAGCAGAAGCCATCATCACATCAGAGTCCTCCTTTTCTAATCAGAAGCCCCCTTCCCATCAGAAATCTCCCCCTTCCTATTAGAAGTCTCCCTCTTTAACATAAGAAGTCTTCCGCTTCCCATCGGAAGTCTCCCCCTTCCAATCAAAAGTCTCCCCCTTTCACATCAGAGGTCTCCCCCTTCCAATCAGATGTCTCCCCCTTTCACACCAGAAGTTCCACCTTTCCCATCAGATGTCTCCCCTTTCCCATCAGAAGTCCCCCCTTTCACATTAGAAGTCCCCCCTTCCCATCAGAAGTCTCCTCCTTTCCATCAGAAGTCTCCCCTTTCACATCAGTAGCCTCCCCATTCCCATCAGAAGTCTCCCCCTTTCCCATCAGAAGTCTCCTCCTTTCCATCAGAAGTCTCCCCCTTTCCCATCAGAAGTCTCCTCCTTTCTATCAGAAGTCTCCCCCTTTCACATCAGTAGCCTCCCCATTCCCATCAGAAGTCTCCCCCATCCCATCAGAAGTCTCCCCCTTTCACAACAGAAATCTCCCCCTTCCCATCAGAAGTCTCCCCCTTTCACATCAGAAGTCTCCCCCTTCCCATCAGAAGTCTCCCCCTTTCCCATCAGAAGTCTTGCCTTTTCACATCAGAAGTCTCCCCTTCCCATCAGAAGTCTCCACCTTTCCCATCAGAAGTCTTGCCCTTTCACATCAGACGTATCCCCCTTCCCATCAGAAGTCCCCCTTCCCATCAGAAGTCTCCCCCTTTCACATCAGAAATCTCCCCCTTCCCATCAGAAGTCTCCCCCTTTCACATCAGAAGTCTCCCCCTTTCACATCAGAAGTCTCCCCCTTTCCATTAGAAGTCTCCCCCTTCCCATCAAACGTCTCCCCCTTCCCATCAGAAGTCTCCCCCTTTCACATCAGAAATCTCCCCCTTCCCATCAAAAGTCTCCCCTTTTCACATCAGAAGTCACCCACTTTCACATCAGAAGTCTCCCCCTTTCACATCAAAAGTCACTCACTTCCCTTCAGAAGTCTCCCCCTTTCACACCAGAAGTCTCTCCCTTCCCATCAGAAGTCTTCCCCTTTTACATCAGTAGTCTCCCCCTTTCACATCAGAAGTATCCCCTTCCCATCAGAAGTATCCCCCTTCCCATCAGAAGTATCCCCTTCCCATCAGAAGTCTCCCCCTTTAAAAAAAAGAAGTCACCCCTTTCCCATCAAGTCCCAGCCTTCAAGAGGCCACATAGTACATTTCAGCCAATTCTCCCTCATTACAACTGTACTTCTGCCGGCCAATTGTACACAGCTGTATCCTCTGCAGTGTCTTTATTGTTGTACTAAAAACCCCAACCTTTGCTCTTTGTCTCTAGTACATTTGGGCCTAACCTTGCTTAATAAAATGATCCTGCTGCTGGCTAATGTGATACTGCTCTATCTTCTGTGCTTGTAAGAAAACACCTACCTGTATCCTGTGTCTCCAGTACATTTAGAAGAATTTTAGAAGTCTCCTCCTTTCACATCAGAAGTCACTCCCTTCCCATCAGAAGTCTCCTCCTTTCACATCAGAAGTCACTCCCTTCCAGTACTCCCTTCCAGTCACTCCCTTCCAGTGTTTCCAGTACATTTAGGCCTAGTCTTGCTTATTACACACCAGTGTCCCATGCATGGCTTAGCTATTAGCCTTCAAAATGGGCAAACTTTACTAACAAGACTTGACCCCCATAGATTTTGCTGCTAAGTAGGTTTTGCCAGACTCTAAAAGGCTTTGCCTAAACCTCAGCCGATCTATCCGGGGCAGATTGTCTCATCACTATCACTGAACAATTGCATCCCGGATAACGTTGTCCCCGCAGCACTGTTCCCATCACGCCCAGTATATAGAGAGATGTTCTCCTCTGTGGGTGGGCTCCCTATTAATTCAGCTTCACTCTCTTCCAGGACAATCTCATCCTTAAGAAGAAGCAATATGTGGAGAGAAATGCGAGGCACAGACACAACTGAAGCCCAACGCTATCATACACATGTCTGCTCATATATACTATGTATCCTATGGTGCCACGTATAATGTTTAGATGTATCTGATATGCTGAGCATTTCTTCCTTCCTCTGCAGATGACTTGGGCCTTAGCAAAACTTTACTAACCAATGAGCTTGATTTATTAAGCTGCAGTAAGGGATACTATAGTGGCCTCTCAGACCACACTTTGCCTGGCTCATCAAGCTACCAATAGGACCTTAAGCCCAATTTAGGACACCTTAAGTGCTTTTGTATCCTTGTATATCAGGGCCATTTTCCTAGGATTTAGTATGGCTGGAGAAGTTACTTTGAGTTGCAGTAAATGCTGTGTTTTTGTTTTTTTTGTTTTTTTTTCATTTTGTCTCTAGCGGATGAATGGGAAATGGGGGGTTTGGAGAAAGTGGGCTTCAGCTGCCATCAGCATACGACTCCCATATTCTGAAAAAGAACCCTTCTTAACATACAATATTTCTTGCCTTAGCCAGCTATCAAGAGAGTGTCTTTTAAGCCTGATATGGAGTGAATGACTGTGGAGAAGGGTCCTTCAAGCCTGTTGTAGAAACTGGGTCCTTCAAACCTGCTATAATGAGGGATCCTTCAAGGAGGTTCTTAAAATCTACTATAAAGAAAGCGTCCCTCAAGCCTACTATACAGAAGGGTCCTTCAGGCCTGCTGCAAGGGTAGGAAGGGCCTTCATGCTGGCTTTTTGGAGGGGGTCCTTGAAGCCAGCTGGAGAGAGGGAGTCCTTCAAACCGGTTATGGTGAGTTGGTCTTTCAAGCCTGCTATAGAGAGGATTCCTTCAAGCTGACTGTGGGGGGTGGGGGTATTTTAAGCTTGCTGAAGAGAGAGGGGATCATTAAAGCCATTTATGGTGTTATGGAGAAAGCTCTTCAAGCTGTAGAGAGGGGTCCTTCTGGCTAATCATGGAGAGGAGTCCTTTAAATCTGTTATAAACAGGGACTCCACCAGACCAGTTGAGGAGAGGAAGTGTGTAAAAGCCAGCTACAGAGAGGGGCCCATCAAGTTTGCTTTGGAGAGGGGGTCCTTCTTGCTTTTATGGAAAGGGTTCCTTCAGACGCACTATGAAGAGGCTGTCCTACAGGGTTATTATGGAGGGGAAATCTTTCTGGCCACCTATAGATTGAGAGTTATCTTACCTTGCCAAGTAAAATGGATCTTTCTGGCTACCTATAGAGAGGGGTTCCTTCTGTCTACCTATGGATAGGAGGTCCTTTAGGCCAGCTTTATAAAGCATGTCCTCCTGGCCAGACCCAAAACAAACCACAAAAAACCCACAACAAACCCCAACCACCAAAAAACCCCAAAACAAAAACAAAAAAAAAACCCAAAAAAACCCAATAAAAAACAAACCAAACCCCAACAAAACCACCAACAAAACAAAAACCCACCAAACAAACCCCCAAAAAAAAAAAAAAAACACCACCAACACCCCAAAACAAAAAAAAAACCCAAAAACCCAAAAAACCCCCAAAAAAAAAAAACACCAAAAAAAACACAAAAAAAAACAAAAAAAAACAAAAAAACAAAAAACCCCACCACACAAAAAAACACAAAAAAAAAAAAAAAAAACCCAAAAAAACACCCCACCCCCCCAAAAAAAAAAAAAAAAAAAACCCCAAAAAAAAAAAAAAACAAACCCCCCCAAAAAAAAAACCAAAAACCAACAAACAACCAAAAAAAAACCCCCCCCCAAAAACCAAAACAATACAAAAAACCCCCAAAACCCACCAAAAAACAAACAAACCAACAAAACCAAACACAACACCCCCACCCCCCCCCAAAAAAAAACCACAAAAAAAAAAAAAAAACAAAAAAAAAAACCAAACCCCCCAACACACAAACAACACCCCAAACCAAAAAACAACCAAAACAAAAAAAAAAACCAAACAAAAAAAACACAAAAAAAAACCCCCCACCAAACACCCAAAAAAAAAAAAAAAACCCCCCAACCCCCCCCCCAAAAACCCCCCCCCCCCACAAAAAACACCCCAAAACCAAACCCCCCACCCAAACCCCCAAAAACCAACCCCCAACCCAAAAAACCCCCCAACCCCCCCCACCCCCAAAAAAACCCAACCCCCAAAACCAAAAAACCCCCCCCCACCCCCAAAAAAACCCAAACCAAACCCCCCCAAAACCCCACCCAAAAAACCCCCCAAAAACAAAAAAACCAAACCCCCAAAACCCCACCCCCACAAAAAAACCAAAAACCCCCCCCCCAAAAAAAAAACCAAAAAACCAAAAAAAAAAAAAAAAAAAAAACCAACCCCCAAAACCAAAACAACCCCCCAACCCAAAAAAACACAACAACCAAAAACCCCCAAACCCCAAAACCCCAAAAAAAAAAAAAACAAACCCCCCCCCCCAAAAAAAAAAAAAACCCCCCCAAACCCCACAAAAAACAAAAAAAAAAAAAAAAAAAACACAACCAACCCCAAAAACCCAACCCCAACAAACCCCAAAACCCCCCCCCAAAAAAACCCCCCCCCCCCCCACCCCCCAAAACAAACCCCCCAAAACCCCCCCCCCCAAAAAACCCCCCCCAACAACCCCCCAACCCCAAAAACACCCCCCCCCCCCCCCAAACCCAAAAACCCCCCCACCCCCCCCCAAACAAAAACCCCCCAAAACCCCCCCCCCACCCCCCCCCCCCCCCCCCCATCACCAACATCCCCCCCACCCCAACAAAAAAAACAAAAAAACCCCAAAACCCCACCCCACCCAAACCCCCCCCCAAAAAAAAAAAAACCAACCCAACCAAAACCACCCCAAAAACCAAAACCAAAAAACAACACCCCCACCCAAACAAAAAACAAAAACCAAAAAAAAAAAACCACAATAAACCCCCCCCCCCCCCCCCCCCCCAAAAAAAAAAAAAAAAAAAAACCAAAACCAAACCCCCCCCCCCCCCCAAAAAAAAAACCCCCCCAAAAACCCCCCCCCCCCCCCAAAACCCCCCCCCCCCCCCAAAAAACCCCAACCCCCCCCCCCCAAAAAAACCCCCCCCCCCCACAAAAAAAAAAAACCCCCAAAAACCACACACACCCCAAAAAAACCCCCCCACCCCACCCAAAACCCCCCCCCAAAAACCAAAACCACCAAAAAACCACACCCCAAACCCCCCCCCCAAAACACCCCAAACAACCCACCAACCCCCCCCCCCCCCCACACCAAAACCCCCACACCCCCCCCCCCCAAAAAACCCAAAACCCCCAACCCCCCAAACCCCCCCAAACAAAACAACCCCACCCCCCCCCCCCCCCCCCAAAAAACAAAACACAAAAAAAACCCCAAATCCCCCCCAAACCCCAAAAAAAAAACCCCCCAAACCCCCCCCACCCCCCCCCCCAAAAACCCCAAAAAAAAAAAAAAACCAAAACCCCCCCCCCACCCAACCAAAAAAACCCCAACCAAAAACAAACCCCCCCCAAAAAAAAACAACCAAAAAAAACCCCCCCCCCCCCCCCCCCCCACCCCCAAAACCCAACCAAACCCCAAAAAAAAAAAAAAAAAAACCCCCAAACCCCCCCCCCCCCCCCAAAAAACCCCCCCCCCCCCCCCCCCAAAAAAAAAAAACCCCCCCCCCAAACCAACCCCCCCCCCAACCACCCCCCCACCACCCCCAAAAAAAAAAAAAAAAACCCACCCCCCCCCAAACCAAAACCAACCCCCCCAAAAAAACCAAAAAAAAAAAACAACAAACCAAAAACAACCCACCCCCCACCCAAACCCCCCACCCCCCCAACCCCACCCACCCCCCCCAAAAACCCCCCCCCAAACCAACAACAACCAAAAAATCAAAAAAAAACCACCCCAAACCAAAAACTCAAAAAAAACCACAAACCCCCCCCCCCCCCCCCCAACACAAACCCAAACCCAACACCCAACACACACCCCACAAAAACAAAAAAAAAAAAAAACACACAAAAAACCCCCAAACCCCAAAACACCCCAAACCCCAAAAACACAAACCCCAAAAACCAAAAACACACAACACACCCACCCCCCCCCCCCCCCCACAAAACAACCAAACCCCCCACCCCCCACCACCACACATAAAACCCCCCCCAAAACACCCCACCCCCCAAAAAACCAAAACCCCCAAACCCAAAAAACCAACCCACCCCAACCCCCCAAAACCCACCCCCACAAAAACCAAAAACAAAAAACCAACAACCCCCCCAACCCCCCAAAAAACCCCAACACAACCACACCCCACCCCCCCCAACCCCCCCCAAAAACCCCCAAACCCCCCCAAAAAAAACAAACCCCCCCCAAAACCCACCCCAACCCAAAAACACCCCCCCCCCCAAAAACCCCCAACAAAACCTACACCAAAAAAACACAAAACCCCCCACCACCCCACCACACCCCCCACAAACACAAACCAAACACCCCCCCCCCCCACAAAAAAAACCCCCACCCCCCCCCCCCCCCAAAACCCCAACCCAAACCCCCATCCCCAAAACCCAAAAACCCCCCCCCCCAAAAAAACACCACACCCAACCCACCCAACAAACCCCCCCCAAAAACAAAAACACCCCACCCCCCCCCCCCAAAACCCACCAAACCACCCCCAAAAAAAAAACCCCAAAAACCCCCCAAAAACCCCCCAAAACACCCCAAAACAAAAAAAAAAACCCCCAAACAAAACCCACCCAAAAAAACCCCCCCCCCCCCCCACCCCCCCAAAAACCAAACAAAAAAAACACAAAACCAAAAACCCCCAAAAAACACCCACCAAACCCACACAAACCCCCAACAAAACCCCCACCCCCCAACCCCCCCCCCAAAAAAAAACACAAAACCCACACCCACAAAACCCCACCCAAACCTAACCCCAAAAAACACCACACCCCAACAAAACACAAAACAAAACAAAACACCACACCCACCCCCCACCAAAAAAAAAAAAAACCCCCCACATACCCCCCCAAAAACAAACACCCCACCCCCCCCCAAAAAACCCAAAACACCACACCCAAAAAAAAACCCCCCCCCAAAACACCAAAAACCCACCCCACCCCCAAACCCCCCCCCAACCCCCCACCACACCCAAACCCCCTTCAAAAACACACCACATTGATTTGGCCACAGCAAATTAATATTCATATTGCATGTGACAAAAAAATACCATTCATTAACTATAACACTAGTATACAATGGAAAAAAAAATGAAAAAAATCCAAAATAAAAATAAAAAAATACAATAAAAAAAAATGATTTGTCAAGCAAAATCAAAAAGATTACCAAAAAACGGGGCCAAAACTCAGAATCTGTCATCAGCCGTGTCTGAGGTACACGGCCAGTGACAATCGCACCCGATGCCGGCTCTCTGCAAACGAAAAAAAATGTGCAAAAAAATAAATCATTTGGCGTCCAAAAAGAAATCCAAAAACGTTTTGCCGGCCACCTTTTGGCCTATTGGTACAAAATAAAAAACAATATTGGTTAAGGATACTATACCCGTCAAAAACAAAATGCCGCAAACGCTCCTTTCTCTGCAATAAAACACTCTCAAAAAAATTCCTGATATAGGCACCTCAATACAGCTCAAAATAATAATCAGGATATCTTATAAAAAAAATTCACTTGTTCAAAATCCGTTCCCGGATTCTGCAAAACCTCTCACTGTGTCGTTTAACAAAAAAAAAAAAGCCAATCCATTAGAACAAGCAGTAAAAGGAAAAATCCGATGACGTGTTTATAGTGCTTGGAAGCTCCTATGGTGAACACTTGCAAAAAAAATAATCAAATTTTTCACAAAAATAAAACACATTCGGTTCGCGGACACATCAACACCAACTCAGAAATTAATAGCTTATAACTCCAAATTAAAAACGATAAAAATAGTAAAAAATCCTGTGAATATCATTATATATCACAAAAATAAATATAAAAAAAAATAAAAAAAATAATTCTCACTGCGCATGCGCGGCTCAGGGACCACGCAGCGCGGTGATCGGCGGTGCGCTGTGTCCATTCGGATACAGCGGATCACTGATCACGGAAAGAGCCGAAGATGTCGGCTCGGTCATGTGATCAGCTGTGTCCAATCACAGCTGATCGCATGTAAATAGGGAAATGCCGGTTATCTGCACGTCTCTCACGAGCCGTCACGCTGACAGAGGAGAGCCGGTAAATCATCATTCTGCGGAGGGGACATCTACACTGATCATTAGAGCACTGATGATCTGTGTAGCCCCAGCAGTGCCAGCTGTCAGTGTCCATCAGTGCCTTGTGTCAGTGCTCATCAGTGCCACATCAATGCCACATATCAGTGCCCTACCAGTGCACATCAATGCCACATATCAGTGCCCATCTGAGCTGCCTTTCAGTGTCACCCATCAGTGCCAGTCAGTGCCACCTATAAAAATGCCAATCAGTGCCACCTATCAGTGCTGCAAAGCCAATCAGTGCCACCTATCAGTGCCAGTCAGTGTCACATATCAGTGCCAGTCAGTGCCGCCTATCAGTGCGCATCAGTGCCACCTATCAGTGCCAGTCAGTGCTGCCTAACAGTGCCAATCAGTGCTACCTAACAGTGCCAGTCAGTGCCGTCAATCAGTGCCGCCTATCAGTGCCATGTATCAGTGCTGCCTTTCAGTGCCCATCAGTGATGCCTGTCAATGCCCATCAGTGCCACCTACCAGTGCCTCCTCATCCGTGCCCATCAGTGCCAGCTATCACTGTCCATCAGTGCAGCCTATCAGTGCTCATCACTGCAGCCTCATTAGCGCACATCAGTTAAGGAGAAAAATCACTTATTCACAAAATTGTATAACAAAAACTAAGAAAAAACTTTTTTTTTTCAAAAATTTCTGTGGTTTTTTATTTGTTTAGGAAAAAAAATTTAAAAAACCCAGCGGTGATTAAATACCACCAACATAAAGCTCTATTTGTCACAAAAAAAATGATAAAAATGTCATATGGGTGCAGTGTTGCATGACTGCGCAACTGTCATTCAAAGTGTGACAGCGCTGAAAGCTGGAACTTGGCCTGGGCAGGAAGGGGGGTAGAAGTGCCCGGGGGGCAGGAAGGGGGTAGAAGTGTCCTGTAGGCAGGAAGGGGGTAGAAGTGCCCTGTAGGCAGGAAGGGGGTAGAAGTGCCCGGTAGGCAGGAAGAGGGTAGAAGTGTCCGGTAGGCAGGAAGGGGGTAGAAGTGCCCTGTAGGCAGGAAGGGGGTAGAAGTGCCCGGTAGGCAGGAAGAGGGTAGAAAAGTGTCCGGTAGGCAGGAAGGGGGTAGAAGTGCCCTGTAGGCAGGAAGGGGGTAGAAGTGCCTGGTAGGCAGGAAGGGGGTAGAAGTGCCCGGTAGGCAGGAAGGGGGAAAAAGTGCCCTGTAGGCAGGAAGGGGGGGGGATAGAGTGCCAGGTAGGCAGGAAGGGGGTAGAAGTGCCCGGTAGGCAGGAAAGGGGTAGAAGTGCCCGGTAGGCAGGAAGGGGTAGAAGTGTCCGGTAGGCAGGAAGGGGGTAGAAGTGCCCTGTAGACAGGAAGGGGGTAGAAGTGTCCTGTAGGCAGGAAGGGGGTAGAAGTGCCCTGTAGGCAGGAAGGGGGTAGAAGTGCCCTGTAGGCAGGAAGGGGGTAGAAGTGTCCTGTAGGCAGGAAGGGGGTAGAAGTGCCCTGTAGGCAGGAAGGGGGTAGAAGTGCCCTGTAGGCAGGAAGGGGGTAGAAGTGTCCAGTAGGCAGGAAGGGGGTAGAAGTGCCCTGTAGACAGGAAGGGGGTAGAAGTGCCCGGTAGGCAGGAAGGGGGTAGAAGTGCCCGGTAGGCAGGAAGGGGGTAGAAGTGCCCTGTAGGCAGGAAGGGGGTAGAAGTGTCCTGTAGGCAGGAAGGGGGTAGAAGTGTCCTGTAGGCAGGAAGGGGGTAGAAGTGTCCTGTAGGCAGGAAGGGGGTAGAAGTGCCCTGTAGGCAGGAAGGAGGTAGAAGTGCCCGGTAGGCAGGAAGGGGGTAGAAGTGTCCTGTAGGCAGGAAAGGGGTAGAAGTGCCCTGTAGGCAGGAAGGGGGTAGAAGCGCCCGGTAGGCAGGAAGGGGGTAGAAGTGCCCGGTAGGCAGGAAGGGGGTAGAAGTGCCCTGTAGGCTTGTGGTTAAAATATATCAATAACCATTAAAAAAAATGAGTGAAAAATCAATATCATAGGAAATTTGCATATAAAATGTGTCCATACAACAATCTATAAACAGTCCTCTTTGAATTAAGGCTGAAGAGGCTTGCTTCATTAAGTGGATCAATTATGATTTTTCTATGCGCTCCCCTTCTTTTCAGCTTAATTAATATTTAGGCTAAAATCGCTTTTTGTCCTACATGGGCAGATAAAAACCTCCTGAGCCAGAAATCCTTCTCAGATGATACAACGTTGTAATATAATCATTTTCCACCTGTTGTCTCTGCAATGCTCTGATATTGGATGGTATTGGTTATGGATGGATGGATTCCTCCTTCTCCACCTCCAGGGGTCTAATCCCTCCTTATGCCCCCTCCAGGGGTCTAATCCCTCCTTATGCCCCCTCCAGAACTCCACAGAAGTAATGTCAGAAAAGAAGAAACAAACCCATCGTGTGTTATCCTCTGAAGTGTTTTATTCATATAAGGTGCATAATTCCACTCACATTTCACACTTCCTATACTCGCCGTGGAAAGCCGACAACGTGGTGACGTCAGAGTCAGGGGCTCTGACGTCACGACCAGGGAACCTAATCTCTTAAGGGAACAGAAGGCTTTTTACTGAGGTGCTCCGGTTGTTCACTTTTTAATATGAATGCAATATAATATTTAATAAATACCGGTGAGAAACGTTTGATACACTAGGATGGTGTATTCCTTCTGACATTTGAAGGCAATATCGTGTATGGATTGAGAGGATGAGAATGGATTGAGTTACATCAGGAATTGGAGGCTGGAGAGCGCAGGAGGCTAAACCAGTGTTTCTCAACTCCAGTCCTCATGGACCCCCAACAGGTCATGTTTTCAGGATTTCCCTCAGATGAAACAGCTGTGGTAATTACTAAGGCAGTGAAACTGATCAAATCACCTGTGCAAAATAATGGAAATCCTGAAAACATGACCTGTTTGGGGGGTCCATGAGGACTGGAGTTGAGAAAACACTGGGCTAAAACCAACCTTGGTTAAAGGGAGAAGCCCCATCTGACCTAAATCTCACAGGTCATATACAAGAGGTGAGGGTTTACACTCACCGGCCACTTTATTAGGTCCACCTGTTCAGTTGCTTGGTAACACAAATTGCTAATCAGCCAATCACACGACAGCAACTCAATGCATTTAGGCATCTAGACGTGGTGAGGATGACTTGTTGAAGTTCAAAAAGAGCATCAGAATGGGGAAGAAAGGGGATTTAAGAGACTTTGAACATGGCATGGTTGTTGGTGCCAGATGGGCTGGTCAGAGTATTTCAAACACTGCTGGTCTACTGGGATCTTCCTGCACAACCATCTCCAGGGTTAGAGAGAATGGTCCGAAAAGAGAAAATATCCACTGAGCGGCAGTTGTGTGGAAGAAAATGCCTTGTTGAGGTCAGAGGTCGGAGGAGAATGGACAGACTGGTTGGAGATGATAGAAAGGCAACAGTAACTCCAATAACCCCTCGTTACACCCAAGGTATGCAGAATACCATCTGTGAATGCACAACATGTAGAACCTTGAAGCAGATGGGCTACAGCAGCAGAAGACCACACCAGGTGCCACTCTTGTCAGCTAAGAACAGGAAACGGAGGCTACAATTCACACAGGCTCACTATAATTGGACAATTGAAGATTGGAAAAACATTGCCTGGTCTGAATTCTGGATTTCAGTTGGGACATTCAGATGATGGGGTCAGAATCTGGTGGTGGGGGTGTCATGGTGTGGGGGATCCATCCTGCCTTGTATCAATGGTTCAGGTTGGTGGTGGGGGTGTCATGGTGTGGGGGATCCATCCTGCCTTGTATCAATGGTTAAGGCTGGTGGTGGTGGGGGTGTCATGGTGTGGGGGATCCATCCGACCTTGTATCAATGGTTCAGGCTGGTGGTGGTGGGAGTGTCATGGTGTGGGGGATCCATCCGACCTTGTATCAATGGTTCAGGCTGGTGGTGGTGGTGGTGTCATGGTGTGGGGGATCCATCCGACCTTGTATCAATGATTCAGGCTGGTGGTGGTGGGGGTGTCATGGTGTGGGGGATCCATCTGACCTTGTATCAATGGTTCAGGTTGGTGGTGGGGGTGTCATGGTGTGGGGGATCCATCCTGCCTTGTATCAATGGTTCAGGCTGGTGGTGGTGGGGGTGTCATGGTGTGGGGGATCCATCCGACCTTGTATCAATGGTTCAGGCTGGTGGTGGTGGGAGTGTCATGGTGTGGGGGATCCATCCGACCTTGTATCAATGGTTCAGGCTGGTGGTGGTGGGGGTGTCATGGTGTGGGGGATCCATCTGACCTTGTATCAATGGTTCAGGTTGATGGTGGGGGTGTCATGGTGTGGGGGATCCATCCTGCCTTGTATCAATGGTTCAGGCTGGTGGTGGTGGGGGTGTCATGGTGTGGGGGATCCATCCGACCTTGTATCAATGGTTCAGGCTGGTGGTGGTGGGAGTGTCATGGTGTGGGGGATCCATCCGACCTTGTATCAATGGTTCAGGCTGGTGGTGGTGGTGGTGTCATGGTGTGGGGGATCCATCCGACCTTGTATCAATGATTCAGGCTGGTGGTGGTGGGGGTGTCATGGTGTGGGGGATCCATCCAACCTTGTATCAATGGTTCAGGCTGGTGGTGGTGGGAGTGTCATGGTGTGGGGGATCCATCCGACCTTGTATCAATGGTTCAGGCTGGTGGTGGTGGTGGTGTCATGGTGTGGGGAATCCATCCGACCTTGTATCAATGGTTCAGGCTGGTGGTGGTGGGGGTGTCATGGTGTGGGGGATCCATCTGACCTTGTATCAATGGTTCAGGTTGGTGGTGGGGGTGTCATGGTGTGGGGGATCCATCCTGCCTTGTATCAATGGTTCAGGCTGGTGGTGGTGGGGGTGTCATGGTGTGGGGGATCCATCCGACCTTGTATCAATGGTTCAGGCTGGTGGTGGTGGGAGTGTCATGGTGTGGGGGATCCATCCGACCTTGTATCAATGATTCAGGCTGGTGGTGGTGGTGGTGTCATGGTGTGGGGGATCCATCCGACCTTGTATCAATGATTCAGGCTGGTGGTGGTGGGGGTGTCATGGTGTGGGGGATCCATCTGACCTTGTATCAATGGTTCAGGCTGGTGGTGGGGGTGTCATGGTGTGGGGAACATTTTCTTTGCACACTTTGGGCCCTTAGTACCAACTGAGCATTGTTTAAACGCCACAGCCTACCCGAGTATTGTTGCCGACCATGTCCACCCCTTATGCCTCCAGTGTCCCCATCTTCTGATGGCTCCTTCCAGCAGGATAATGCACCATGTCACAAAGCTCCAATCATCTCACACTGGTTTCTCCAGCAGGGCAATGAGATCACTGGACTCCAATGACCTCCACAGTCACCA